AGCTATTATCTTGTTAAGGGTGAGAGAACAAGTTTTATGACTAAGCTTGGACATTTTTATGACAGGCCAAAGAAAAGTTATTGGGCTCAATATAGGGGTAATTGGGTGAAATGTAATGGCTCATGATATATACAGGTAGTCTAACTAGATCATCTGATTCTCTCTTCTGGTCTTATGCTCCATGAATCTATTACTCTTACCCACTTGCTTTAACAAATGTTTAGTAGTTCCTTTTTTCAGAGAGTCTTCTGAATATGTAACCATAAACAGAATATCCAGGTTAGCCAGCTTACTGTTGTCTAAATTGCCAATGGAATTGTAAACAAATTCCTTTGCTGATCAAGAAGTTTGAGCTAATTAAATTATGGAACTGGCAGCACACTTTCTATCAACTCAGAAAAAACTTTATGGGAGCCTGTTGGTTCACGTGAACTCTTTTTTTCGTGGCAATATAAAATCCTCTGTGTCAAGACAGTTAGTGAAAATAGCGTTACAGGAGGATCCTCTGAGTAACGTGGTGTTTCTCATTTCTAGATGTGTGAAACAAGAAATGGAAAGTGACCCTCTCCTCAAACCGGCTAACTCAAACACTTTGGGACAAACACTGGACAGCACTGCCTGAAAAGGCTTTTGACTGGACCCAAACCTGAAAGCACCAGAGAAAATCAAATGCTTCCTATTAATGTAACCTAACCGTTTTAGAGTGCTACAGTCTTTCCAACCTACTGTAGTATCTAAATCATAACCGTTGCTTTTTCTTCAAAGTGATAAATTTTTAGTTTCATTATACTGTTTTGATTGAAATGACACTATAAATTTTTCCTTTAAAAGTTTCTTAATTGTATCTAGAACAATAGCACAGTTTAGAAACTTTGTCTTCGGAGACTGATGTTATCTGTGAACTAACTTGGGAAGATCATATCCATGTATGTGGTTATTTTGTTTTTACTGAAATAGCAAAGTTTCACTGGAAACAAATTGTGTGCCCTCCATTTAAAAAAAAAAAGTCAAGGACTTCGGCAAACTTAACTTAATTCTCCAACGGTTGTATGAATTAAACATTTTAGGAATTTTAAACTTTGTTTGATTTTGGTTAATTTCTAGTTTTCTTGTGGGGGATGGGGGGACTTGAATGCAACAGGAGTTTAAATAATCTCTGATCTATGTTTTAAAGATTGTGTGTGTGTGTGTGTGTGTGTATATATATATAGATATATATCTATGTATATCTATATATATAGAGAGAGAGATATATAGTGGCACACAACTCACTACATTACAGGATATGATCTCAGTGTAGTGCATATAAAACTGCAGATTGATTTTCCTTGAGTGCTTTATACTGTTTAATTACATCTCCATGTAGGGCTGAAAAAAATTACCTATGTTTATATATAAACTGTGTTGCTTTTGATGTTGTGTTATTGCACACAATTCTGTGTGCAATAAGTTTTTTGCATATGGTCCAGGTAAAGCACGATAGCCTTGCAAGTTAAGTACTGCTTCAGTTCATTGTTTACGCTGGAATTTTTTCTCCCCATGGAATGTAAGTAAAACGTAGTGTTTGTCACCAATAAATGGTAATACTAAAAATTTTTTGGTTAATTTATTCTTGTATGCCATTACTGGGGCTCCTTTTTGATAGGATTTGTAATGCTTGTGATATAGTACGGGCTGTAATGTAAAACTATGAAGTAACTGTACAATGGTTAATCAATAACCTATAAATAACTACTTTTTAGTAATGTGGAGGTTGTGACAAACTGGCTAGGTCAAGGAAATTCAAAAGTAATATGGGTACGCTCTCTGTCTTTGGTGCCACAATGTCTAGCTTAAATACATTAATGGGAGCCTTACAAAATTATAACATGATTTTGAAAAGCAACATGGCACAGCAGGTTGAAATGATATCAATACTTAGATCTCTACTTTTAAGTTTTCTTGCTTGCTTGTAATTTGTGTCATAATCTTAGCTTTGCACTGAGTAATTTTTGGGGGGTACTACTTAAACACCCAAAACCTTCCCTCTAGCAGCAAGAATTGGCACCATAGACTGACACATAACAGTGTAACATTTGGATGTGAACTACCTTAAATGTATATTTAACTGGTAACCTGTAGCAGCTCTTCCTAAATATCCACATGCAGTATGTGAAGTAAATGTTCTTCTGAAAAGCAGTTACTGCACATGCTGTTTATTCAAAGTTAAATGTCTCGGCCATATTAAACCTTATTTTGTTCACATTATTAAGCAATTGGGCCATATTAACTGCTTACCAAATTTTTATTAAATCAAAGTTGTTTTTGATCATTATAAGTGCAAAAAGCATTGTAAAGTTTTTTTACATTTGTAGAACTAAAATGCTGTAAATTTAAAAATTAAAAAAAAGACTTGCTAGGCTGAGACTCTGTATTGCAAATTCTTACAACTTAGAAATTCCCTGGAAAATCGTTTATAATGGAAAACCTGAACGATGGTGCAGGTGGTCACCATAGGTCTCTGTTCTGCAGTTGGGTAACTCTTCTCACTAAGCTGAACAGGCCAGCCTACAGTTCTGGCTGTCTTGGCTTGTGTAGCTGTTGAGGTATGACAGTGCTCCACGTGAACTTTTAACAAAAAATATCAAATGTGTCCATTGTCAAATACCTAATGCATTCCTAGACGCACTAGCACCATATGTGTATGTGGGACATTAGACACAGGATAAGGTCCCTGGCCCAAAGCCAGATAACAGGACATCAGATTATGGGGAGGTGGGTGGTAAGTGGGGCCAAGAATGTGCAAAAGGAAAGCATTTTTTTTTTTTCACCTGGAGCTGTACTCGAGCTGCTTTGTTACATTATTGCTTGGGTTTTATGTTCTATTTAGTCCTTCTATTCTATTTAGTCTACTCTTAATGCAGAGTAGGATAGGACAAGTGTATAATAAATACCCAGCTCTTACAAAGCATTTTCCATTAGTAGATCTTGAAGTGCTTTACAAAGGAGGCCATATCATTCTCCCCGTTTTACAGATGGAGAAACTAAGGTTCTTGACGTTGAAGTGACTTGCCCAGCAAGTTGAAGTGACTAGCCCAGCCCAGGCTAGTAGCAGGCTAGTAGCAGACCTGAAACTAGAACCCAAGTTTTCTGAATCCCTCTCCAGTATCCACGAGGCAATACTGCCTCTGACTTTTTCTATGCTAAACTCCTATTGCTTTGATCTTCTTAGACCCTAAAAACGTGCATACACATGACTAAAATGTACAGTGTTCACCATTGGCCAAACTCCTCCCATTGAAGTAAAAATCCCACTGCAAGTCTATAATTCTGGTAAGTCTTGTTTTTGCTAATGAGCCTCATATAAGTAGACTGCAAGATTTATAGTTCTAAAAACATGCCTTTGCATCAGACTCTTGGTTTAATTGGTTTAAGTTATTTTTTCATGCAATGGGAGATTTTGACAGACAGTCGAACCAGTCCAGGAACATTTTCTGCTCTCATTAATACAATCTTTCTGGGTTTATCTTTTTGTCTAAGTTTAGGGTTACTGACTATAACAATTTCAGTGTCCCAGAACCTAACGAACCTTCAGCAAGGGGAGAAGCTTTGCAGACCAAAAGGTCATGCAATTTAGTAATACAGTGGAACCTCAGAGTTACATACATCTCGGGAATGGAAGTTATTCATAACTCTGAAATGTGCGTAACTCTGAACTTATGGTGGTTCTTTCAAAAGTTTACAGCTGAACATTGACTTAATACAGCTTTGAAACTACGATGCAGAAGAAAAAAGCTGCTTTCCCTTTATTTTTTTTAGCAGTTTACATTTAACACAGCACTGTGCTGTATTTGCTTTTTTTCATCTCTGCTGCTGCTGCCTGATTGTGTACTTCTGGTTCCAAATGAGGTGTGTGCTGACAGGTCAGTTCTTAACTTTGGTGTTCATAACTGAGGTTCTGTTGTACTGGGTTTGCCTTTCAAATCGTGACTGAGTGTAAGGAAAATCTAACATTTAAAATATCTAGTCCTGTTCTATCTATCAGTCTCTTAACAATTACACTAACAGCAATTGAGACTGTGATCTTTCTTTTCAGTCTTTGCTTTCTCTCACATGGTAGTAATAGCATTTATATAGCACTTTACGTGTTCTTAGCACTGTACAGACACTAATCCTCACAACATCCCTGTGAGGTAGGTGAGAAAGTTCAATTTACACCAACTTTCAGCATTGAAATCAAAACACACACTTAAGACAAGCTTCACTGTGCTTCACATTGAATCTTCTCACATTTATAAATGGCATCTGTGTTTCATGCTCGTATCCACAGCAGTGGTTTACCTCCTGTGTAGTGGAACTGAGACGACCTATCTGCTCAGCCATGCCTCTTCCTCTTGTCACCAAGTGGTCTGCCTCAAGCTGAGGCAAGCGCTCCCTCTTCAGCCATTGCCTTTAGGCACAAATCCTACAAACTACTGGGATGGGAGCAGCTTTAGATTAGGGTGCCTTCCTCCAAACTTCAGAGCAGACCAGTGATTTCTGGAACCGTCAGCTCTCCCTGCCTCACAGCAGCAGGGTGTGGAGCATGTAAACAAATGTTCCATCTGTGAAGTGCCTGTCCAAGCAGCAACTAAAAGAGAATTGTCTAGTCTGTTCCCAGCCCAAGAACCCTCGTCCTATCAGGGCAAGGGACTGTCTCGGAGATGGTAGGGTTTTCCCCTGGCACAGCATCTATCCACATCACAAAACAAGCATGTGCACAGCATGTATTTACCAGACACCTAGCTTTAACTAACAAGGACCCTGGGTATTCCTATAAAGTCCTAACACGGGCATTCAAGCAGCCATCCTGTAAGATTCTCCCAGCTTTCTAATGGAATATCCCCATAACCAAGTGGATACAGCTGATGAAAAACGAGGTGGGGGGAAATACATTTTTTTGAAATTTTCCTGTTTCTCATAACTTTTAAAATTCAAAAGAAGTCATCCAGATCTACGAGAGGATTCTTTCCCATACCCCTTACTCTTATCCCCAGCTGAGAACATACAGCATAAAACTTCCCATCCAAAAGCAGCTAAGGGAAGCATGTCTGAAAATACATGACCCCTCCCCTGCTTTATAGTGTGGTGGCCAAGAAGTCCAGAAAACAATTTAAAAAAAAAAAATCCCGGAAAGACGTATTCTCCTCATCTCCTTGCCATCTCCTGGGACTTTAGGTCCAAATACTACTCCAGTTTGGAGCAAAGTCAAAGACCTGATCTCTCTCCCGGCTCTAATGCATAGACTAAAGGATGGGATGTTCAGAAGTGCCTGTGCGCAGTGAAGGCACCAAGCATCAGGTGCTGATGCATGTATTTATACCATTCAACTAGCCCTCCCCCTTGTGTGTAGTAACTATTACATAAATGCTGGATGTCGCCAGAATTCTCCTGAAAGCCTGCAGACGTAGACCAAAAGAGCAAGTATGGATCAATATAAGATGCGACCTTTAAGTGTTTCTACACTGAAGTGATTTTATTCACCAGGTTTTTCCAGCTGAGTTTAGATTAAGAAAGTGTTCCAGAAGCTGTTAAAAAATCTGTGCAAGTACCAATCTTCATCTTCCTGTTGCTACGAGATGGCGTTTCGCTTCCCTTTGTCTAATGAATGGATGCATACACTTATCAATACCCAAAAACTTGTGAACAAGAACTTGAACATCCCATGGTAGGAGGCTGGAAATAAAATTTCAGTAATTAAGAAAAGATTTTAATTTTCTCAGATCATTATTCATTTAATTTTTTAGGGCCTTGATTGAATTTGTGGACTAGATCTAAATAATATATTGAAAGGTGAACAAAACTTACCCAAGAGGATATCTATGCTACCTTCTCCATCCAAAGAAAGAAAAGAATCTTGTATGTGACTAACACTATTCTAATACAGTAAAAATTTGTAAGATTAAAGGTGAAAAAGCTAGAACATTATTAAATAATCCATCTTCTCCCTGTCAGATTTCAGGACGTATTCCCCAAACTGCTAATTGATAAACATTAAATGTAATGTAGCTGACAATCTGAAAAAGCCTTTGATAGAGTATCTTACATATCTCCTATTCTAAAACATCTTACCTCCATGGTTTTTGCTATTTCAAACATAAGATGTAGGTGTAGCATCTTGCATATTTAAAACAATCTTTTTTAGCAGAGGGGAGAATAGCGTTTCCTAAGTAGCAGACCCAGAACCTTCTGATATGCTTTTCCATTAAATCTGAATGTTCTAGCCATTTTGGGACCATCAGATAACACTACAGCCAATTATTTCACTTTTAACTGCATCTTGAAACAGAGTACCATCAAAATGAATTAATGTGGCTGCAATTCCCCGAGTGGAAATACTTACTGTTTTGAAACTACTGCAAAGTACATCACTCTGGGGATACATATTATGGGCTGATTATTCAGTATTCCTTTCATTGCTGTCTTCACACAGTCATCTGGTTTTAATGGAGAGAGAAGACCATCCAGCTCTTGCCTAGAAAAACAATTGGTAAGTATTTCATTAAGAAAGAAATCAGTAATTTGGGGGAAATTAGATTCTGTATAACCCTACTGAAACCACCACTGCATAAAGGAAAAGTGTCAACCTTTCCTTTTAAACCATATTAGGTAGATCCAGGGGAGTTCATAAACCAAGGTGTCTAGCCTGTCAACCTGTTCTAATTACAGTAAACGCTGTGTTATCCTGTTATCCAGCGTTTTATCAACCGGAAAGCTCTATTAACCAGCATTTCTGATATCTCCCAATACAAGTCTTCAATTTAGTAACCAGGACTAGTATACTGCCCAGGAGGTTATGTAATTGCACATTCTGCACTGTTTTTATGGAAAAATGGCAGAAGACACGTAAACAAGCTGATATCAGGGGTTTATTTAAAAAAGCCACTTCCAGGGTGTGTCTGAGTCATTACAGATTCAGCCCAATCTCCTACACCACCTACATCTACAACAGTGATTGATGATGACTGAGGCACTGCAAGATCCTGAAGTGCCTTCTGAATCACCAAGGATTAAATTATGTTCAGTATAGTTTAATGTTGTGTATTTTTAGTGATCTGGGTGTATGCCATGCACTGCCCATAGTGATATGTAGTGTCCTAAGATAACCTCCTGTAGAGAAAACTTTACCTGTATACACCTAAGTGCTTCAAGAAACCAACCACTCTGCAGTGCAGTACGACTACTGGAGTGGTGAGTAGCTGTAAACTATTTTATACTTGATTCATTTTATTGTATTCTAATTCTTTGAAAATTGGTATTCCGTTGGTAAGTACAACTCTTAGTTAACTATAATTTTTGACTAACTGGCACCCCCATTCCTCCAACATGCTGGATAACAAAGCTTTTACGTTATTAGCTCAGATATCACCTTTGTTGGTGTTGTACAACTTCAAGTGCTCCTGGCTTAAATGAATTTAAACAATTCCGGCTCCTGGTAAGGATTACTAGCAATAATTGCGGAGTTCTTTATATTATGCTAACGTCAAAGGTAACGGTCATTTTTAGTGAGCCTTTGAATTTGTGTAGTAATGATTGTTCCATTCAAAGTGTAGGGGCTGACTCTCAAATGGAACAGCGTCATGTGATATCTTTTTTAAAAAAGCTTCGTTTCTGCAGACCAAATCTGCAGTGTTTTGGGAGTCTGGCTTCATGCAGGCAAGGAAGAGAGTTGCCTGATCTACCTGAAATGATACACCTTGACAAACTGGGCCAAACGCAGAAGTTGGTTGCAACTCTCTCAATTGCCATGCCATTGATTTTTAGTGGAGTTGTGCTGCATGCTGAATCTGGTCCTTTTGTAAGCTGTTTATCAGTTTAGTTTTAATTTAATGACCAACATTAAGCACAGAGCACATTTGTGAGTAGTGCTCCACAGTCATGACTCTAGGTTTACTATCTGAGGCCTGGTCTACACCTGAAACTTAAATTGACCTATGTCGTGCAGGGGGGTGAGAAATTCACACCCCTGAGATAGATTCAGAGACTTTAAGGTCAGAAGGGACCCTTGTGATCATCTAGTCTGACCTCCCGCACGTGGCAGGCCACAGAACCTCACCACTCCTGACACAGACCCCTAACTTCTGGCTGAGTTACTGAAGTCCTCAAATAGATTCATAGATACTAAGGTCAGAAGGGACCATTATGATCATCTAGTCTGATCTCCTGCACAACGCAGGCCACAGAATCTCACCCATCCACTCCTGCGAAAAACCTCTCACCTATGTCTGAGCTATTGAAGTCCTCAAATCGTGGTTTAAAGACTTCAAGGAGCAGAGAATCCTCCAGCAAGTGACCCCTGCCCCATGCTACAGAGGAAGGCGAAAAACCTCCAGGGCCTCTTCCAATCTGCCCTGGAGGAAAATTCCTTCCTGACCGCAAATATGGCGATCAGCTAAACCCTGAGCATATGGGCAAGATTCACCAGCCAGATACCCAGGAAAGACTTTTCTATAGTAACTCAGATCCCATCCCATCACAGGCCATTGGGCCTATTTACCATGAATATTTAAAGATCAATTTAATTACCAAAATCATGTTATCTCATCATACCATCTCCTCCATAAACTTATTGAGTTTAATCTTAAAGCCAGATAGGTCTTTTGCCCCCACTGCTTTCCTTGGAAGGCTATTCCAAAAGTTCACTCCTCTGATGGTTAGAAACCATGATTTAAAGACTTCAGGTTACAGAGAAGTCACCATTTATGCGACTTTAAACCAGCAAGTGACCCATAAGATGTAGTTAAGCTGCCCTAAACCCTGGGATAGACACCACTTGTTCGACAGAAGAGTTCTTCCATCACCCTAGTTACTGCTTCTTGAGATAGTGGATTTATTACAGCAATGGAAAAACCCCTTCCATCATGGTAACAAGTGTCATACACAACTGTAGCTTAGCTGTACCTGTACCACTATAGCACTTGTAGTGCAGACATGCCATACATGAGGGTCTCGTACCCAAGCTGTAGTTCTTTTTGAACACCTCCACATTAGTTGAGTTCTGGTCTACTGGGTGCTCATCCTCTTTGGACAGATGAACTGGGAGCTCAGCATTAAAATTCAGTTATACATGAGTGTGGCGGGAGAGGGGAGGCCTACCTCCAGCCCCTAACCCTGCAAAACACACTTAAAAGGTATGATGGCTTATGATATTACTCCTATGTGGTGGGGAGAAATACTATATACCCTGTCGTGTTTCATCACCTGGAATTTATTCTCATATCGTGGGATATTTATGCCCACTCCCCCTGGCCAGAGAATCATGCACTCTTTGCAAATTCTATACAGGCTACTTCATTAATAAAAATCTTTGCACAAAATTAGCACCTTGCATTCAGGGGCTTCCAGGTGTTTTGCAATTAACGCTCCTGTGATTGTGCAAATAGGTAAACTTGAAGCTGAGTGACTTGTCCAAGATCTCAAAGTGGTAGAGTCAGGAATACAACAAGGGCATCCTTTCTCCTGGTCCTGTGCTGTAATGTGGATCTGGTCTTATAAATGGAGAAATCTATTTCAGTATAGGGTTCCTCCCTTTCTTACAGGAAGGTAATCTTTATTTTCATGTTAGTGTATCATCCAGAAGGTTCACTCTAGTTTGAAATGTTTTGTTCTTGAGGGAACATGTGAGTACTGACAGTTCCTGCAATTTGGAATTGCCAAAGTTTGCTACAATTTTCCCCTGGTTTCTTGGTCATGGCCAATCATTCTAGATGATCCATTTCTAGCCTGAGTATTCTCACAGAAGCTCTCATTTGCATCCACCCCTCAGAGGAAGGATGGTTCATACTTTCATTTTTGTAGGTAAGGATTTTACAAGTTCTCTTTACTTTTATCAAGAGATGCCAGCTTTACATTCTGATTTTGCTGTCTGCCCTTTCTTAAAAACACATCAGTGTTCTACACTAGTGATCCAACCTGCTATAATTCAGTAATGTTAAGGGACAAGTACGCTAGGCTAATTAAAGGAGAGTTTAATTGCTCCATTATCTGAGCAGCTGAACCAGGGCAGAATTGCTGCAAGGCTAAATGTTGGGGGTGTCTGCTGATTCTAGTTGTCTACAAAGTCAGCTGGAGTTGTTCTTTCAGGTTCCCTAACAACTGAGGAACTGACCCTGGTAGCAGCTGGACAGGTGTGATGTGTCTGCGAATGAGTCAAATGTAAATGGTTTTACCTGATTCTACATCCAGTGAACATGCCCGTGTCAACAAGACAGGGGCACACCAGAGTAGTCTTCACTCCATTGATTCGATTGGCTTTCAGCTGATGGCTAAGAGCTTCATGGAATCCAACTACTGCGAACTTGCTTGCACAGTAATCCTGCAGGAAATGAGAGGCTTTGGCTAGTGGTAGGTGGGGGAAGAGGCTTGTTCTTACTGGAAACACTCCTAGGTAGTAGATGGCAATTTCTAGCTTAGCTACGGGAGTGCAGCAGGCTGGCTTCTCTGCACAGAGCAGGTTTGCTCATTGAACCAAAGCATTCCCTTGAACATGCACTGAAAATGGACACTCCTGTGACCTGCTTGGTTTTCCACATGCCACCTTTCAATATTGTTATGGGTTGGGTTAAAATCTCATTGAAACTGTGATGGGTGTGACGCACCCTTAATATAGCTGTACAAAACATCTAAGCGGCCGCACCTAAAACACGGCATAATGGAGTCTGCCCAGAAACTACCATCATGTAGGAAATCAGTGGGTGCTTAGCACCACCTGCAGCCAGCTCCCTCTGCCAATTTCCTCCCCCCATGCCTCCTGTCCACTGGTGGGCCTGCTGATCAACTGCTCCCCCTCCCTCCCTCCCTCTCAGCACCTCCCACACACTGCAATCAGCTCTCCTGCGGCATGCAGGAGGTGCTGGGGGGAGGGGGAGGAGCGGGGATACGGCATGCTCGGGGCGGGGGGTGGAACTGGGCAGCAAGAGGCAGGGCAGGAGCTTGGTGGAGTGGGGGTGGGGTCTGGGGTGGGTAAGGATGGAGCACCCCCTGGGAAAGGAGGAAGCCGGTGCCTGTGGGTGCGGGGTTTTGACAGGGTACTGTTTAAACATGGGTGGGACAAACTGAAGTGCAGATAGAAACTGAGAGAATACACAGAGACTGAAGCAAGACATACTGGGAGAGAGCGAGAGCCTGGACAACCTGGTGTATGACCCTGGAAGAAACTAGAGAAGGGACTTTTGGGTCTGGTGCTGGATAAAGAAGCTTGAGGCTGTAAACAAAGAACTATCCCGTTTTTCCGTTCCTCTTGTGTTAGGAGAAGCAGGACTTTATACACTCCTTGATTGATTGATTAAAAAACATCAAAGAAAACATCAGACACCAACATCAATTTCTGCTCACAGCTGGAACATCCTCTGGGCCTGAGCTTTGACTAGTTACTCAAGTAAAAAAGAGGTAAATATTATGGGCCAAAGGATGGTCCCAAGTAAATGGGACACAAGGATGCTTTCGTAGGTTTCAGTGAGTTGGCTGTACTCAAAATATTTTTCCTTTTTACCTCTGATTTAAACTCCTGTCTGTTCCACCATATTGTTCTATAATCTCCTTCATCTCTTTGATCCAGGAGAATGTCTGTCTTTGCCCCTGGAGAAATGCCTTTTACTAGCAATGCCTGCTGATAAACTGCAGGTGCCAATGAGCTAAGGATGTGATCTCAAACCCAATGGGAGTCTTTCCATTGGCTTGGATCTGACTCTGAGCCAGGTTTTTATAGCGCTTAAATGTGCAGTGTGCACAATTGTGAGCCTCACTTCCCCGTACAAATCAGGTCAGTGCAGACCTGAGAAGTGAGGTGTATTTACACCATCATTCTAGCTTTTTAAAATCCAACCTCTGCATTAATATTGCTCCTGTAATACTTTGCAAATGCCTAATAAATATTGTCACTGCACTTTAAAGGGATGCATAAAAATCTTGTATTTATAATGAAGAAAAATCACCTGTCAGTTTTTCTTAATTTCAGGGACCTCATTTTCCATCCCTTACCAAATTTGGGCCATCAGATTGCTTCTGACGGCCTTTCCATTAGCATCTAATGTCCTATTTTTATTGTACATTCCAGGTAATTTGCGCTCAGAGCTTGAGAACATATTTAGAGGTTTTAGCACCAATAAGCTACTGTGACAAGCAGATCTCTCAATAAACACCCTACTTTTTTAATATGGATAATAGACTGAACTCCACAACACACATTTGAAATATGCTGGGAAAATAATCGGGGTGCTTGCCATAGCACTTTAAGACTTTCCAGGTGCCTGTGATGGAGGTAATGATTACTATTTGCCTTTTAGCTATAAGGAAACTGAGGCTGGAAAGGATTAAGTAGCTTGCCCAAGGCCCCCCAGAGCCAGTGTCAGAGGTGGTATTACAACTTCGGAGTATCCCAGCGCTGTGCTCGGGCCACTAACCTACAACCTCCCTAGTGATGCTTCCTGTTTTATCAACCAAATTTCGGGGGCCTAATCAACCCATGAAATTAATTCCAACTGAAAAGTAAGGCTACAATTTAATCATAGGTATTTTCAGTAAAAGTCATGGATAGGTCACAGGCAAGAAACAAAAAAATCACAGTACATGACCTGTTCATGACTTATACCATAAATACCCCTGATTGAATCTTGGGGGGGTCTGTGGCACCAGCTGCTGGGGGAGCGGGGGGAGTGTGTGTGAAAGGAAACCACACACTTTGGTGATCCATAGCTACTGACCGTCACACAAGCTGTTGCAAAGAGGCCCAAGGATCCTGCTATCGTCACAATGTGACCATGGTCCAGCTCCATCATTTTTGGGAGGAAAGCCTTGACAGTCTGTATGGACAGAAAGAAGAAAGCTTATTCATGTGCACCATTCGTCTATTACATTTGCACATCTAAGATAGTGGGTACAATGCTCCAAGGTCTGTTTTGCTGATGCTCTGCTAGGACACACATTTATTTCTATTCTTAGCTGCAGCTTAAAAGACTCATGGCTCAACTATTACTGCAGAGAAGCAGCTTCTTTTACTCTCCCTTATTCCATTATGTGGAGTAGATGATTTTTAGGCATTTGCAATTTCCTTATTCCGAATGATCAATGTTTCTGATTTGGCAGCTGCATGGAGATTTTCCCAACATGCAGTAAAGATGCTGACAGGTGTATTTTTATGAACATTCCACACAGCCCCTGAGCAGCGTTGCTGATTTCAGATGAGAGATTTTTCATGGCTTTCAAGTCAACGATGCATGTGATTTAAAATGAGGCAGCTAGGAGAGATGAGCTTGAGCTGTAAAATTACAACCTGGATTGGAACTTGCCCAACGTTTGGGGGTGTTTGGCTCTGTGGTTTTGGTTTAGCTTCTTATTACATAGAGGCCAAAGCTGTTGTTTTGATTTCAACTCCATCCAAGTTTGAAATAGTTCAGATTCAGGGTTCTGGTTCAAGCCCATACCTAGCAGTTGGCCATTTATATGCTAAACACTTAAGGATCTCGCAGAAACCAGTGTGGTCTGTTTTAGCAACTCAGACATTTTTCTTGTTTTATTAACTTTTATTTGGGCACTTGAGCAAAAGAATGACAGTCTGCCATACAGGGTGTTCACATTTAGAGGTTGTTGAAAACACATCCCTTTAATGTTCAGCTGCAAATGAAGGTTTTCCAGATTGTAGAGCAGTGGCTCTCAACCCTTCCAGACTGCTGTACCCCTTTCAGGAGTCTGATTTGTCTTGCATACCCCCCAAATTTCATCTTACTTAAATGACTTGCTTTACAAAAACAGACATAAAAATACAAATGTCACAGCACGCTATTACTGACAAATTGCTTACTTTCTCCTTGTTACCATATAATCATAAACTCAATTGGAATATAAATATTGTACTTACATTTCAGTGTTTAGTATATAGAGCAGTATAAATAAGTCATATGAAATTTTAGTTTGTATTGACTTCGCTAGTGCTTTTTACGTAGCCTGTTGTAAAATGAGGGAAATATCTAGATGAGTTGATGCACTCCCCTGGAAGACCTCTTGCGTTGTAGAACCACTGTTGTAGAGCACTGAGAATATTAGCCTACTGTGGACAGCAACGAGAGCATCAGGGTAATTCAGGCCGCCAGCAGCCTTGTAACCATCCTGTTGGCTAGAGCTGCTCTGCGCAGGCTTAGACAATGGAGTGGTTCCAATGCCAGCAGCCACTCCTATCGTTGCTCCCACTGGTGGAGATGCACTGGTAGGAGAACAGCCACCTCTAATGTAGACAAAGCTAAAATGCAGACGCAGCCCAGAAGCATCTTTACCTTCCAGTGCTGTGCCAAAAGCATCCATGCCAAGAGAGTGAGCACTCTGACAACTGTGCGGCTGTCACGTGGGAGATGTGTTCTGTTGGGTAATGCACTGGTACATGGCTGGAATCCAGCAAAGCTTTCATAAGCTGGCTGGAAGCCAGTGAATCTCAGAGAGGAGCTCTGTCTGCATCCAAAAGTGAAAAACAATGGGAGCTGAGGTGGGTTCTGACCATTTATCATGCACTTACAAACGTTATTCTGCCTTCATAAGGGCCCTGCTACAATCAACCCAAAGTGAGTTAAGAAACCATATTTAAACACTGCTCCAGCCAAAGAGATTTCTATGAAAAAATCTGAATGTTACCCCGGGAAATCAAGTAAATCCAGCCATGTGTCTCAGCCATGTGTTTGATTATCCTAGCCCCTCCCACTTCCCCTATCCTGCCAATTTAGGAAACACTGATGCCCATTTAAAGTTAGTTTTCGGTTGCACATGTGAGATGGTTTTGCGGTGTAACAAGATTAGTTTTCGCTGCAATCCTCTTAAAATGTCCTTCATCTGATTGTCTTTCAGTGCTGTGAAACTGGGATTAACGGGATCCAGACCTCATTTCCCCAAGTCCTGGTTGATAAGCTACTTTCCAGAATTAGCCACCTACAAACCTAAGTCATACTGAACAATAATTGTCACCAGAATTTAAATGGACAGTTTTATAATACAACATTTTGCATAATGCCTATATGCACTCAGCACTATATCGCCATATGATCCCCCTAAATAAGGAGATGGATGAAACCACATGGGTTAGGTTGTTTCTGAGAGAGTGAGCACAGAATACCTCACGTGGGTTTCTCCTCTGGCTAGCTCTGTAGAGAGAATTTGGTATATTTTCACAGTGTAGTACACACATTTGCAGGATGTCTTCTTGCACTTTTGTCAGATTTTAAATAACATCCTTAAACCATCCTCTTCATCCACTAGGGTTTCAGGACATTAGTTTTCTTTGGCTTGGTTTTGGTTTGGCTGCTGTCACAAGAATCTCAATTATGAAACATAGGCTGGTGAGTTGGCTTAAAAACCAGTGTGGCAAGTCAAATGGTGCTAAAGCTTCCTGTAACTTGGTAGATCTGAGCAACCAAATAGCTATATTTGGTTACTCAGCAGAACCAATGTGCATTTTACACAAAGAAACTGAGGCACAGAGCGGTTACATAGGTAGGAGCTATAGAGGGAGTCATCAGCATAGTGGGACGTGGAACCCAGGACTGCTCACTTTGTAATCCTTTGTTGGTTCCGATTGATCACTCTGCTTCTCAAAGCTCATCGACGTGAAGCCAAGACATGAATGGGGAGGGTTCTTCAGCTTTCCCCCTTGCTATGCTGTGTTGCAGTATCTCTTCAACACCAACTCTTTTGTTGTTGATCTTAGCCTGGCCACCAGAGGAGGTTTCATTCACCAGGGAAATTCTGGGCGGCAGCTCGGAGTTCTACCTTGGAAACCACCCTGGCATGTATATGTTATCACAGGGATTGGAACACTCTGCTTGGCTGACTTTTCTAAACACACACAGCTGAGCTGGCACTGCCCAAGCAATGCAGATTGAGAAATACCTTCAGTGTGTTTTCACAGATGCTATGTGGCCCGCTCTGTCAAAGTATTTCTAAAACATATGGATGACCATTCAGTTCTCCTGACTAAGGTGAATCTATGGATATAAAATCACTGATGCAGCCATGTCTGAGTGTGCCATTTATGAGACAGACTGTTCTCATTCAAGATCAATGCCTTTCTCTTGGGAAGAGTCAAGTTACTTAGTGGAGAAATATTTAAAGGGATCTTATCAAGACTTCAAAGCCTGGAAAATTCAATCTGACTTAATTTTTGGCCATAAATTAACACTTTTATGTTGAGTAAAACCAATTCAAAATGTTGGTTTTATAGATTTGGAAAATCGGAAATTTCTTTTCCCCTGAACTCTGCTTAGGGTGAGTTTGAGAGTTTGTAATGAATGAATCAGGGACTGTATTTTTTTTTATTCTGTTTGTCCAGCAGCTAAGGGGCTCCTGGTCCAAGACTGGGCTTCCTACATGTTACTATAATAAAAATAATAAATTATAACACTCCTTGGAGAGACCCCAAAATAGAACAATCAATTCACTCCTGAACTGTGTCCCACAGGACCTTGAGGTTCTGCATAGTCTAAACTGTAAAATATTTGATCATAAATGATCACAGGGTCTATTTTCACATGTAGGAAGGGTTATGATAATTTACTGCTTTTGGATTCAATGCTCTGATTTTCTAATGTTTTGGTTCAAAAAATATGAGCATGAGAACCTTGCTGCTTTGTATTAGATCAGCAATCCATCTAATTTAGTATCTGATCTCTCTCAATAACAAGTGCAGGATGCTTCAGAGGAAGATATAAACCCACCCCAGTGGGGGTTATCTCTGTTCTCTGTTGGTGACCTTATCAAGCCTTAGAGTACAATGACCGATTGCCATTACTTTTAATTTTAGCTAGGGGATAGCTGCTCCAAATGTAATTTTTATACTAAATTTCATCTTGGACTAATAAAATGACAAATTGTATAACTACCTAGTCTAAAAATGAGACAGTAGTATACAGACCTGAAGGAAAACAGCTGCGAGTGTGATCTAGACTGTATCATGTACAGGACTAGAATACCTGGATTCTATTCCCAGTTTTTTCACTGCATTTGTATGCTGTTGGACAAGTCACTTAATGTTTCTGAACCTTACATTTTCCCTTCATCCAACTTTGCAAAGTGCTTTGAGATCTATTGATAACCCTGACTCAAATCTTTGGAATTTTTTGTACTACAAAATATTGAACTCTAGCAGTGAGTAGAGGGGTCTTCCCAATGAAAAGGGAATCTCAACCTGCCTCCAAAAAGGTTAAGAAGGAACTAATATTTCAAATGTTAAACTGTGATGCCAGGACCCATTTAGAAGGCAGAGATTGTAGTAAAAAATGGTCAGGGCTGGTCTTACCATGAGGCGAACTGAGGCAGCCGGTGCCAGACTGTGGGGGGGGGCACCACTAGGCTCCAGAGTTTTAAAGTTTTGGCCCAAGTGAGGGAGAATGAGGGTGTCATTTGAGCTCCCCGCTTCAGGTGCCAAAATGTTGTGGGAAGTGAGCTGTAGCTCACGAAAGCTTATGCTCAAATAAATTGGTTAGTCTCTAAGGTGCCACAAGTACTCCTTTTCTTTTTCCTAATCGCACTGTAAGGCTTGTAGCTTTCCTTTCTTCCAGCCTTCCGCTCCCCCCGGTGGAGCTGAAGCAGCAGGTAGGAAACCGAGGGCAAACAGGCCTTGGGGTGCCTGCCACCGCTTCAGCCAGCTGGCCTCCCACACCTGCTGCCAAGGGGGCAAGAGCACGGGCTGGTAAAGAAAACAAACACGCCATGGGGCCGGGCGTCCAAAGCCCTTACCCTCGGCTGCGGCAGGCGAGGTGGCTACAGCCTGGGAGACCTTTGCAGAAGCAAGTGAGGACGAGGCGGCAAATGTGCTGGAGGTAGACCTAGACCTGCAGCCAGGCAACGTGGCAAGGGCAGGCAAAAGCTACTGCACCCAGTATTCCCACGAGGTCTCCCATCCAAGTACTAAGCAGGCCTGACCCTGCTTGGCTTCCAAGATCAGGCATGTTCAGGGTGGTATGGCCATAGACGCTGTTGACTACCACTTTGCCTTTAAGCAAGAACACAGACATGCCCTGCCTGCTCCATGCTGCCGATTCCCTCTCCCCACAACATGCTCACGCCCACACCACCAGCCTCACACCCCTCCCTTGCCACACCAACACTCCCACCCTGCACCACCATCCACAGCCCCTGGCCCACACACACCACGCCTAAGCCTCCTCCCCACCCCCCTGCAACCCCCTGTGACCCTCACCACACACTGTCTCCTGAGATGGGACCCTCACAAAGCTCCCCTGCCACACTCACACCCCCCGCCACAAAACCCCGCGCACCACCCCCAGGCGCAACGCACCACCCAGGACAGGGCTGCCTCCTGCTCCTGTGCCTTACCTGCACGCACCCTACAGGGGCAGCTCCCACACAACCCGCTTTGCTCACAGCTCTCACGCCTCCCTGGGGACGCCCTCCTGCACTTGGCTTGCCTTTTGCTTGCTCCGGGAAACCCAGGATGTGCGCCCCGGAGGCCTCGCCCTGCCCCGTCTCCCACTTCGCAAGGCCCCGGGGGAGGCAGGATGGGCCACCACCTCCTTCTCAGGGAGACCAGCCCAGAGGCGACCAGCACCCACCTTCCCACTTACTGGCCCTGAGCCGAGGCAGCGACAGCTACAGGCCTGCAACCAGCCTTCCCAGGCAAAAGGGCCACCTTCGGGCAGCAGCTGCCTCTCTCCCTTCACTTTTAAAGGGCCAGCTGCCAAGGAGGCATGCTGGCAAAGGACTTCCCTAAGCAGCCACCCCAAAGGCCCAGGCTGCACCGCACGCAGGATTGGCCTTACCACCATGGGGCGAACTGAGATAGCCACCTCTGGTGCCAGACTGTAGGGGGCCACCACTAGGACCCAGAGTTTTAAAGTTTTGGCCCAAGTGAGGGGGCAAGGGGGCATCATTTGAGCTCCCCGCCTCAGGTGCCAAAATGTTGTGGGACAGCCCTGGTAAATATCCTCCTTCTGATGCTTGTCTCAACCGGACGTGCTCACTTCAAGCTCTAGCTGGATGCTATGCATTATAGAGCCCTGCAAATCCATGGAGAGCCACTGACCATTTCTGCAGATAGTGGATTGGATGTGGATACAATCGTGCAGGGCTCTACTCACCAGCAGTGCCTGGCCTGTGGCATCTGGCTCGGGCAGCCTGGGGGTGCAGTGCACTGGGGACTGGTGGCCAGTGGCTGGGGGGCACCCACTTCCCCCGCCACTTCCTGTCCAGAAGCTCGGGTCCCTTGGACAGTGCCAGCATCCAAACTATGGCCCGGCCCCGGAGCAGTAGCCCATGCTCCCCGTCTGCCAACGCCCCACCTCTCCGCCCCATTGTGATGCAATGCCCTTCTGCTGCCATCGCTCGAGAGCCCCTGGGAGGAGCACGCGATGCACTGCCCCTTTCCCTCAGCCCCCTGTCCTGCGCCACCCCTTCTCCTTGAGACACCTCAATGTCCAAAGTCAGACAGTGAATCAACAGCACCCAAATACAGGGAACCCACCCTGTCCCAAATCCCTGAACAATTGGATGGGTTCTGCTGCAGCATGTCCTGAAGGCCAAGACTTTGGCCTTCAGGGATAAAGGGGTGGGTGAATTCCTAGGTAGAGGGGCCCTGCCACATCTCTCTCTGCGCTGGACTCTAATTCACTTCTGCCGTTGGTCTAAAATAGGCCACATCGGTTGCCTTCAGGATGTGCTGGAGAGTGAGTAGTCAGAGTCAGTCCCGGTCACAAAGAGCAGAACTGAAGAAGAGCTCTGTATAAGCTCAAAAGCTTATCTCTTTCCCTAACAGAAGAAGGTCCAATAAAAATCTTTCTCATCCACCTCGTCTCTAATAAAGAGCATAAATAAGTGAAAGAGGCACACTGAGGTAAAGTGACTTCTCTAGGGTCAGACAGCAGAGTAAGGAACAGAAACCAGGGCTTGCTTCCAAGCCTGTGCCCAATGCACAAGAGCACCCTGCCTCTCAATCATTTTATACTTGGTTTTCTGCACTAAATGACACTTACCCAGAAATGTGCATAGCAGTTAGTCTTCATGGTCCTTTCCAGAAGTTCATCTGAGCACTGCAAGATCGGTTTCCCTGCTACAACCCCAGCATTATTTATCAGGACGGTGACATCTCCCACCTCCCGTCGCACTCTCTCTGCAGTGTTATAGACGTCCTCTCGCTGGCTCACGTCACAGGTGTAAGCATAAGCCTTGGCCCCTAGCTCCCTCACCTGCACTGCAGTCTTTTCATTACCATCTGTGTCTATATCCCACAGGACAAGCGTCGCACCTTTTTGGGCGAGTTCTAAAGCAAAACGCCGACCCAGTCCTTTTGAACTGGCCGTACCTGTTATTAAACATATTTCATTGGTGACTCTTTTCTCTGTGGGCCTCTTTATCCACCGCACAAGGGACTGGATTATATAGCCCACAACTTTAGCTGTGAGTAGCAGAAAATCTATAAGCACACCCATTGTTTCTTTTAAAATAAGAGCATCTTGTGGAACACCAATGTAGTGAAGGCCTCAGATAGCACAGTCCAGACAGGATATATAGGGAAATGCAGGATTAAGAGATTATACTGGCCTGCCACCATTAGCAATAAGTGGGAGGGATCTCTACTACAATGGAGGTATTAGGGGCCTGATCCTGCAAGGTGCTAAGTGCCATTGATTCTCATTGACTTCACCAGGAATTGAGAGCACTCAGCAGCTTGCAGCAGGATCAGCCCTTAGATTTGCAGCTCAGGGCTTTTCTGAACGTGTAACAGTTGGGGAGGGTTTCTTGTACGAAACGTTGCACAAGCTCGACCTCTGACTGCCACAGTTGCTGCCCTGAAACCACTGACGTGCTAAATGTCAGAGTCCTGCTTGCTTTTGATGCGAAAACTGTGATTCGTGCACAGCAAAGCACTGGACTGGAATGAAACAGGCACGCTGCTTTCCAGGACACGTTACGCTTTCTCTTCGCTGTCTTTGTCCAGACTCCCGCCCAGTGGTCTCAGGCCCACCTGGGCACAGGACCTGCTTGATGGGGCTTTAGCAACCCAGACCCGCCCTGGCATGTGGCTGCCAGAGAGAAGGGACAAACCAGACCCTTGCACCCCAGGCCCATCTCCTGCTCCTACAATAGGGGGTTGCACAACCGCTGAGCCTTTCTGTGTCTATCTCCACACTAGCCAGCGGGGAGGGAGCCCGATTCGCGAGCGCCCAGAGCGGTGAGCCCGGGCGTGGTGGAGCGAGCGTGGCCCGACACAGAGGGCGCCTCTGGGACTACGTTTCCCAGGTACGCTTGGGTGGAGCATGCGCAGTGAGGCACAGTGCGCTATATAAGGACGTGTTGCGGGCGTGCGCTCTCCTTTTCGTTCCCTTCGCTGAGGGCGCCGGTGAGTGGCTTGTGCGGGGCTGGGGGGTGGCATGCAATCCAATGCAATCTGCGGCCGTCCGCGCCGGTGCCTGGCCCCTGTCCAGCCCCAGCAGTGCCTCGTAGCCCCTGCTGCGGCACTCGGCCTGTATTGATGGGGCGTCCCCTCCGCAAGGGCCGCGGGGAGCCGGCTGCAGCTCGGCCGCGGCCCTTGAGCGGGAGCGCCCTGCTGCTTGGGGGAGTCCTTCGCTAGCGGCTGCCCCTGCCGCTCCAGCCTGCCCTCTCGCTGGCCGCCCCCCAGCAGCGTGTCGCTCCCCCGTAAGAGGGCCCGGGAGTGTGTAGCCGCTGACCGGGTTGGTGGCTCCCTGGTCCCGCCGCCGGGGCTTCCCCCGCAGCCCGGTGCACGTGATGACTAAAGCTTTTTTCCCCATCAGAGCGACAGTGTTGATTTCGCTGCGCTAAGCCAGATTGTGTCTGATGCACCAGCCCGGGGAGGCGGCCTTTGCTTTGCTCCCGCCGGATGGCCAGCGGGGCTAAATCTCTTGTGCCTCTTCGGTCTTCTGCTTCTCAGGTCCAGCGAGCAGGAGCGAGCAACATGTGCTGGGGACCCGGCCTGGGAGAGCGAGGCCAGGTGCGGCTCCAGAGTAGAACCAGCAGGAAGCACCGGTGCTCTGGTTACAAACCCACTGTGTCCATTGCCCTTCCTGACCCTAGTGGAGGTGGCAGCCGTAAGTCCGTCTATGAATAAATACCTTTTGCTGCTGTTTTCCAAGTTTGTTTCTTGGTGCCTGCATGTAAATAGTGTGAAACTTTGCTTAGGGCAGCCATATCACCATTTCCCCAGCCAACAGATGTAAGCTACTCTTATTTTGCATCCTTTTTGCCACTTTCTCTGTCCAGTATCCTAGTCTCTCTTTGCTATATTAGGCACCCATCTTTAAAAGTGTTGCTCTTTCGTGAACCCCTGTCTCTATCTGCCGTTATAACACTGTTTCTTCTCTTCCACCTGTTTCTCAGCATGTGTTTTCCTTTCTCCACATGTGACCAAACAACTGACTCCTCTATCTTAGGCTTCTATAGCACCTACCACTGTAACATCTAAAGTGCTGCAGTCTTATCTGAAACATGTAACTGGTACTCTTATGGCTGATGTATTAAAAAAGTGAAGTGCATTTGTGCAGTTGTATGCCAGCCTAATGTGCAGATAACCAGTTAGCTACATACGTCCCATGTGTCTGCCTTGCTGAAACTGCATGCAAACTAGGATGTCATTCGCATGCTGCCCTGGCACTTCCCTCCTCCAGCTCACTCTGGTGCTGAGATCTCACTGGTGTACATGATGACTAAACTTTTTTCCCCATCAGAGCGACAGTGCTGATTTTTCACTGCTTTAGCCAGATTCAGTCTGATACACTAGTAGGGAAGGGCCCTTTCTCCTTCCTCTCTTCTCTCCCCCTCTCCCCCTCCACTGACTCATACTCAGTAGTTAATCCCACCCCATGGCTTTGTACTTTTTAGGTCCATGGCAGCAAGGGTGGAGCAATGTGAGCCTGGGAGACCTGGCTCACTGAGAGAAAGGTGACATGGTGACCTGAAGAGTCTTGGAAAGAGAGGACACTGCCCTGGTTAACAAGCCACTTGTGAGCCACTACTAGGAGAGAGTGGTAAGTTTCTGAATAAATATCTTTGTCAGTAGTCTCAAATAATTTCTCCCTTCAAGGGAGAGACTGGCTCTAAAGCAGTCATGAATCCCACTTATTTATTATTAATTATGATAGTGCATAAGGGCCAACTGGAAATGGGGCACCATTATGCTAGACACTGTACAAACAATAGTAGACAGATGCTGCCCTGGAGAGTTTACGCTCTAATAGACAAGACAGACATTTAATTCCTTTACCTTCAGGCTAGAAGTTTATGCTTAGTGCCTCCAGAGTAGGAGTGACTGCAGCCTTTTAAACATTGTTTAGGTATCATTTGAAAAAAACACCACCCCTTTCTCTTTGGATGCATCCTTTCTGCAGAAATATCTTGTCCCTCCACTGCCCCCAGATACGTTGCTGACCAAGTCTGCCAGCCTTAGACATCGGTGGCAAATACTGCATGTAAACAGCAGTGCATGTCCAGTGGTGAGGAACACAAAAAGCCAGGGCCCAGCCAATCTACCATTGCGCAGGTTGCAGGATGGCAATGGGCACATAGTTGATTGTGGTCATTAAGCTTTGCAAATGGTTTGTGAATGAGGAACATTTCTGGAAGTCTGGGAGCATTGAGAAATGTCTTGCAAACTTCCCATGAAGTGCAGGCCAGTCAAGGGTGGAAGCAAAAAAGGGTTTGCTGGTGTGTTGCGTTTTGTGGAGACCTGAAGGCTCTGTGAAGCTCAAAAGCTTGTCTGTCTCATCAACAGAAGTTGGTTCAATAAAAGATATTACCTCACCCACCTTATCTCTTTTGCATCCTGTTAGACAGATCCCATTGTGGTAGCTTAATAGTTTGACCTGGAACGGAATGGGTAAATGATAGGATGAGCAGTGGACCAGAAGTATATTGTAGGAACAGCTGCATAGTATCAGAGGGGTAGCAGTGTTAATCTGTATCCACAAAAACAACGAGGAGTCCGATGGCACCTTAAAGACTAACAGATTTATTTGGGCATAAGTTTTTGTGGGTAAAAAAAACCCAGTTCTTCAGATCCATGCATCTCTCCTGTATTGCTGTTCAAATTGTTTCATAATTTGATACTTGTTCTTAGCAATTCAGTTCGATTAATAATGGCACTCAATGTGGAATATAAAATAAACCTTTTGTCATGCAAATGCACCCACTTGCTGCTCTGTAGATCATAGACTTTCTAAGATGCAGACTGAATATTTTAAATGCCAGCTGCCCTTGAAAGTCATTAATTCTCCTGTACAATATCTCTCCTGCAGGAACTATTACGTTGTCCATAAACATAGACTTGAGGATCTTCTAAAGGTAAACGGTGGTTTTAATTTTTTTAAAAAAGTGTTTGACAACCTGAAAGGCATGTTCTGTGGAATGTGATGACTTCAGACTTTTTTCCCCATCAGATCGGCAATGCTGACCAAAACTTGCATTTTAGCCAGGCTGTCTGATTCCACAGATGCAGAGAGCTTTCCCTGTTCATGTTGCTGTGTAAATACCAATTCATTACATATATAGAGCTCCATGCCCATGGCCTGTATGCCCAAAATGGTTGCACATAAATGCAGGCTACTCTGAAGGCAGACAGCAATTGAGGGTGCTCTTTGCACACATCTCAGTAACACTTGGACTATATATAAACTGTCTTCAACATGCGTAACAAACATTAGCTGGTCAGTACTGAGCACAATCCATGTTTTCATGGGACCTGCAGATACTGCTGTACCAGTCTAGTAACTTCAATGACCTACATTTTGTTCTAGCTTCATTGGCATAGCTGACTGTAAAAATAGCTTGTGTGCTATTACTGCTCTATTAAAGGTGACTGAGTTTATTTTTTGGGGGGAGAGGGGTATGGCTGGGGTTTCTGCTGTTTTCACTTGTTTATGATGTGTTTGTGGGTGGGTCGTCAGTAAACTTTTGTTAGTACTTCAGGTCCCATCCTGGCTGAAAGACTGAATGTGGGCCAGGTTTTAAAAAAGTATTAGAGGCCTAAGATGCAGACAGGTGCCTAGTGGAATTTTCCGAAGTACCTACCACTTGATTCCCATTGAAATCAATGGGAATGATGCATCTTGGTGCTCTTGAAAATTACAACTGCTTAGGTGCTTAAATATCCTTTAGTGACTAGTGTTTGTGTCACAGGACTCGTGGATAGAAAGCTCAGTTAAGAGGGGAAAAGAATATTATTTAGTCAAAATTACTTTGAAACTGGTCTTAACACCAAGTTTAACTTCAATGAGTAAAAAGAGCTTTTGTTGAAGATTATTACTGAGTGCCTCAACTTTTCATTCAAGGTGTTTGCCTCCTTTATACGCTTCCCTTTGGGGACTGAAAAGTTCAATCTGTTGTGAAGAAGCAAATAGTCTTAATTTTTCCAAAATCCTTTGCAAATTTAAACATAAGTCTGCTTTTTTCAGTTCATTATGTGGGTGTCTTGCTCTACTAAGTTTGCATTTACTGCTGTAGCTGCATTGGGTCTTAAGATGCTCTAAGTGATATGGAGGGGGAGAAGTAGCTGTTCCTTATTTTAGCTTGTGGAAAACACAACACAAAAGGTTGAATCCTGGCTCAAACTCCCATGTGTCACTCTAGAAGTGCAAAGTGACAAGAGCTGCCTTAACTGTTTGTAAAATTGGCAGAGTTCATATGACTAAATGTTCACTTTCCCTTGACAGGTGAAGGAGTTGTCAATGTCCGCATGAAGCAGAAGTTCCCCTGTGAAGTAGCAGAAAGCTCCTGTTAATATTGCGAACGTTTGTCAGTAACAGCAAAATATCCTGAGTCTAGGCTGTTGTATCCACATTGCTCTGCTCTGACTTCATGGTCAAACTTCCCTCTTTCTGCGTGGAGTAAGAAATACTGCATGTCCTGCCTCCTTAAGACATGCCATGGAGCTTTAGTAATTTATTCTCTCAAAGCTCATGAGCCATTTCAGTGGAAGGGATTGACCATCTATGAATCTTGACCTCTTTTTATGCAGTAACATGCTATGTCTAGTGTTCTTGTGTCCGTAATGGCTGTATTCACCCCATGCAAGCTGGGTTCAACCCACTGCTGTAATGTGGAAGGTTCTTTTGTACTAAAAATCATTAAAAGTACTGAGGTAACTTCTTAAATGGATTGAAGTGTGTGCTTCTGTCTGTATATGAATGGGACGGTTGTGTGGTTAAGCAGAGCCTGGGCCTCTAGGCATCAGGTTGAAATCCAAGCTGTTTTAACCAGATTTCCTGTTGGACCTCAGCCAAGTCATTTGATCTGGCTTCAGCACCCCATGTGTAAAATGAGGATTATGCTTTCCTATGTTGTGAAGATAAATCCATTAGTGTTTTTGAGGGGCTGAAATACCACAGTAGTGGAGATAACAAAATACTTCGATAGCCTGTTCTAGACATGGCATGCAGACCCTGGCATGAGGTGATGCCAATATCTTGGGAAGCTTTTAAATGGTTAAATTGAGGAAAATACCCAACTGTCAACTTGTTTTCAGACAGATAAAACTACCCCTCAATCATCCTCCTTGGAGACTCCTTTCTTAAAACCTACTTTGCATGAGATTCTGACATGGTGGCTGGGGGCTCTAAAAGCTGTCTAGGTTTTGTTGGGCTTTTTACTTTACAGAACTGGATGGTCATAATCAAATACATGCACCTGGGAAGGTGGGTGTTGCTTACTGGCAACTTAGGAGAGCCAGAGCCTCAGTTGCAGCAAGAAACTAAAAAGAACAAGGTTCTGGGGCCTAGTCGGTACATACGGTCTTAGAGCTGGTAATTCATCCTGCACCAGATGGTTTGCGTGCTTTGGGGCCGCTGTGATAGCCAGACTTGCACTGAAGCAGTGAGTTCTTAGTGTCTTGGCTCCCTCATCTCCCTGCTTCTGACACATGGTATTGGTAAAGGGTATATCTACACTACAGCAACAACGTTGGCATAATTATTCTGGCATAGCCCCATAGTGTAGGCACAGCCTATGCTGGCAAAGGGTTTTTCTGTTGGTGTAGAAACACCTCCCTGAATGTGGGTAGCTATGTTGACAGCACTCTTGCATAGCTATAGCAACTCTGATGTAGTTTTTCACTCTCTTGACCAATGCAGTTATGCTGATACAATTTCCATGTAAAAAGAAAAGGACTTGTGGCACCTTAGACTAACAAATTTATTTGAGCATAAGCTTTTGTGAGCTACAGCTCACTTCGTTGGATGCATTCAGTAGAAAAATTCCATGTGTAGACCAAACCTCAGAACAGATAGCGCTTAGTAAGGGTGGGCAACTGCAGAGCATCTGGTGCCAGTTTTTCCTCTCCACCCTTGTCTTTCTCCCCATTCAACTCCTGGAGTCTCCCAGAAGAGAACAATGCCATTTCCATTAGCTGGATCTGTATCTACCCCTTGAGTTGGAGTGGAGAAGTTAGCCTAAAGGCATTCTCAGCAGTTGCTGCACTCTTCCCTCATTTCTTTTGACTTGCACAGAAATAAAACTAGGCCCATCCAAGGCTAATAGTTGCTGCTATAAATTACAAAACAAAATTAATAAGCCTACACAACTCTATGCCTAAATATCATTTCCCCTCAAGAGCTCTGTTCTGTAGATGCAGCCAGGTGACTTCAGAACTTAGAGAAAAACTTGTTCTGCAATTTAAGGCCCTTCAGTGAGGTCTAGAGTTAGCCCCCTCAGAAATCAAGGGGAATCCAACTCGGTTGCCTCTGCTGATCCTGTCAGTGTGACAGGAGGAAGATAATGTCTTTAGTGATTACATTTGCCAGTTCAGGCCTGTAGAAACATTTCTTTAATGAAATGGAGGTACTTAAATGCTGCAGCTTTCTACCCCCATCTTGCTGACATTTGTCTCAAACCCCCAGGCTACTGTTAATACAGATGCGTAAATGCATACTAACACACAGGAAATCACTAAAGCAGAAAAAAGCCAGTCTGAGTGGCATTACAAGTGCTTACACCTCATAGTAGACATCAGTTCTTCCTTCACACAGCCTGGAACTTCAGATTACTTTTTATCTTCAAAATTGTTTGAGGCACTAAATCACAATACCCACGCAAGGTACATGTACATATGCAATGCCAGATACGTCTGTAAGAATTATCCTAATTTCAGATATGGGTAACAATTCAAAATTGATTTTGCCCAAGTCAAAAATGTTATCACAATTAGAGATGAGGATTGCCTTAGTCTTTGAGGTTTAGACCACAGTTAGTCATGGGATGGCAGCTCTGTACACCTAATTTACATATTCTGATGCCACTGATATTAAGCAGTAGTAAAAATCTGTTTTGTTCCCCTCTTAACTGTTGTCAGCCTGTTCTAGTGTGTGCAGTGATTTACCACAAGATACAAACATCCTAATTACTTTGCCCTGTGTGATGAAGCAGAGTTTCAGGTGAGGCGGCAGCTGTTCCTTTGGCAAGGTGACAGCCATTCTCCATCTGGCCTGATTGCTATGTGGCACACAGTAATCCTGGCTGAGTGATGTTTAGCTGTGAGCTGGAAGCAACTGCGTCAGGGTATCTAGGGTCAGCCCTGGTAGATGTTTGGCACTGGTTGAACTGATGACTCCACCAGGGTCTGGCTATGTTTGGATAAACAAGCTGGTAGCACCTCTGCATTCCTGCTGCAATGCACATTCATGCTTCAGAGCTGATACTAAGAGCTGGAATGTGTTCGTTACCTAGCGGCGTCTAGAGTGGCAGGACTCCATTCAAACTCCAGGCTTAATGATGAAAATAGCTGTTACTGATGTGCTAATGTAGGGGAGTAGTGCAGCATTATGTACATTCGAGTTGTTTCTAAAACCAATTCTCATGCCATATTCATTAGAACCTCAAGGAGCAGGTTTAGTTTTCCACAGCTGTAGTTTTCCATTGTGTCTGCAATGTCCTGGCTGTGCAAAGCTATAAAGTTAATAGTTCATACATGCTTAATACACTGCAGTGAGCTGTGTTTGCCTAGGGGCAAATAGTACACCTGGAGGAAGTATGTGCTAAAATGTTAAATTCTGTACACAATATTTTAAAATTATGCAAATTGTAAGTCAAAATAACACTATATAATCACATCAGTTTCAATTATTTTGGTAATTTATTTCAAAATACCTGTCAGCGAGTATGTCTGCAACAATACAGATACACAAAAAATCCCCCCAGAGTAGAGAGTTAAAGAAACCCCTACAGCAGACCAGTTCCTGTTTCTCTGTGTGCCCAGCCCAGCCAGGTGGTCAGACACTCTTCTGACCCCACCCCACCTCAGAGTTCAGCCATGGGGACCTCCCCGGCCCAGACACTCTCACCCCCTGCCAGAGGTGAAACTAAGCAGGTCTGGTATGGCACAGTGGTAAGAAAGTGGTCACTGGTACCACCAGACCTGCTGATGGGGCAAAAGGGGAAGCTGCCCTGGGGCTGGGGGCTCCTGGCAGCAGCCAGAACCCCAGGTCCTTTAAATCGCTGCCGGAGCCCTGGGCAGCATAGGCTAAGCAGTGCTGAGGGAAGAGCTAGGGGAGTCTGGCTCCAGCCCTTCCCCTTCTGCCTGGGGCCCTGCCCCTTCTGGGGGGCCCAGAGCTACCCCCTCCACCTTGCCCAGGACCCCAGCTGTCCTGTGTACCGGAAAGTCCTTTAAATTACTTTCACCCCTACCCCAATTCTCCTAGAGCCCAGGGATCCAGGGGGAGAAACAGCCTGACTCTGGGTTTGCATGGAATTTCCTGTATGCCATCACCTCCTTCCTTCAGGGTGTGCTAGGAACTGCAGCTGCTGGGAACCCTCCAGTTCCCTCCTCCTGGCCTTGTTTTCTATTTGCAAGTTGGGCTCAGCTGGGTCCAGTGGCCCCTAATGGCAGCCAACATCTCTGCAGCCCATTTCTGTGGTGGTGGTGGGGGGGGGGAAGGAAATTCTGTGCACACAACATTAATTTCTGCAAAATTCTGCATTGTGCAGTGGTGCAGAATTCACCCAGGAGTAAAGTAGTTGCAGCTCTTAATCACTGCTTCAAGCTAGTTAGTGGCAATTCCTTATGTTTCTTCAGCAAGTAGCAGTCAACTAGGCAGAGGAAATATTTAAGCAATAATTTCCTGGAGCGTTTAAAATATGGCTTTGTTAGTTCAATGCCCAATAGCAAGAGCCTAATTAATACTCTAACAGATTACCATAAATCATCCCCAGGTTGGGAGGGCATTGCATATTTGTAGGATATTACTGCTACTTAGAACCATAAATGACAGTTTTCATGGTGAAGGGAGGGGAAAGGGTGGCCGAGCGAACAGCTGCCTTTAGTGTGTGTAGCCACAAGACAGTGAGGGTGGAAAATTGACTCTCATAATTTAAAGCAGTTTTTCATTAATGTGAGTAGCAATTTTGCTCATTTAGCTACTCCAATCAGAATAATCTCTTGATCTAGAGCATACTGATGTGGGAGCTAAAACACTTCTAATACAGACAGTGTTAATAATTTAACTATGTTTAGCAGACACATCCTTTATAATAGGGATTGAAGGCAGCTGAGCTCTGCTGGTTCCAAGGGAGTCCAATAGGAACCTGTTTAGCCAGTTTGAGAGGGACCAGCTGGGATGGAATTTTCTCTTTGCCTTTTTTCCCTCAATTTCTTTTCTCCAAGAATAATGGATCAGGATTTCTGCTCTGTCTCACAGGGTTACTCTGCATGCATATGGGAATACAGCTTAAAATCTACCTCTGGCTACTGCTGATTTTCTCACTGTGGATTGGACATCCCTGTGAATGCCAACAATTCTGGATGTGAGTGTCTGCTGTGCAGGAGTAGAATAGATGTGGGTGGGGAAATCACATACAGATTGTTGAGAACTCAATCCAGATATTTGCAAGTAATTATGGATCTGCAGGGGGTGCTGTGTGCATACGTTTGCCAAGGTTTTGTATGGGTCAGATGGAATTCTCCATCAAATACTCCCATCTGTTTGAGTTGCAGAGGGTAGTTTTATCTGCCAAGTCATCAATTCTTTGTGTTCCTGTACTTTGGTGCTTTCTCCTTGTCACTAGATTAGTGTTGTAATAAATCAATCGCGAGCCTGTAGCTCAAAGAAGTCCTTGACATTTTTTTTCTTTTTTTTCTGCAACAGAGAAGTGAAAGAGATTTGACACACAGCCCTCTCAGAAACCACTCCTAAGTAAATCTTGAACTTGTCAGGACCTCATGCTTGGAGAGATGGTTAGATGAGGTTTTTTTGTACTGTTGCCGAGAGGCACAAAGCCCAGACAGAATATAATTTTCCTTTGCTGTGGCAAAAGCCTAGTTTAGTAAGTGTACCGTACAAAGTTTTGTGTTAGCCAATTTTCCCGAGACTTGCTTCTGTTAGAGTTCCTGGCACTTATTCAAACACGCAGAAGCATAAGGACAAGACTTGCAAAAAGAGGTGTTCAAAAATGGGGCTTCTAAGTAAATGGGAGCTGCTGAATTCTCAGCACTTGAAAAATCTGTCTACGAAAGCCTGGACAGCTAAAAGTATTTAGGTGTTGCTGTGTTCAGCAATGTCAATGGAATTTAGACTACTAAGCACCTAAATCCCTTTAAAAATGAAGTAGAGGCTTCTAAATCAGTTAGGCATTGTGATGCTGAGCACAGCAATGCCTAAATACTTCTAAAAATCTGGGCCTAAATAACTATCTAAGGTACCTAGATGCCCCCCATCAGAGTTGTCTCTAAATACTTCACACTCTTTTAATGTATTTATTCTTACAACACCCCTATGAGGTGGGGAATTACACACTCATCCCTGTTTTACAGGTGGAGAACAGACATAGACAGTCTATGGCCCAGATCCTCAAAGGGCTTGAGGCCCCCAACTCCCATTGTGATCTCAGTGAGAGTTAGGCATCTAGATACCTCTTAGGACCTGGACCAAAGTGACCTGCCTGAGCAGCAAGGAGCAGCACGGAATCTGGCACAGCTGGGAGTTGAACACAAGTCCCAGGCTAGTGATTGAATCATTGGACCAGCTTTCCTCTCCAGGATAGGGAAGGATGTAAGAGCTCCCATATTTGAAAATCTTGGCCTTAACCTATTCCTTTAATAAATGGGGGAGGGGAATTACCTCATTTTTAACACTCAGCAAGTGAAATCTGAATTTTTCTTTCTCTGGCCGGGTCTGAGTTGTGCTTCATGTTACCGAAACATCTGTCAGCTTCTAGCGGGGACCAGCCAATTCCCTGGTACAACCACAGGCGCTGACTCCATGGGTGCTCTGGGGTGAGGAGTGGGGTGTGCTCAGGGAAGGGGGAGGAACTGGGTGGGAAGAGATGGGGCAACGGTGGAGGTTTGGGGGAACGGGTGGGGAGGCGGAGTGGGGGTATGGAACACCCCCGGGGCCCAGAGGATGCCAGCACTTGTGATAACCACTGTGTGTTTTTGGAACACCAGCAGATGGCAGAAATAAAATTTTTGGAATGAGATCGACCAGGGGTTTATTCAAATTCTCCTTTTAAACTGAGAGCCCCAACTCAGAGCTAGTTTAAAGGAAGGTTCCAGTGGGTTAGTGCTGTATCCTGCCCTCTGGCCCTGTGGCCGTGTGAAGTAGCAGGAGAAGAGAATGAATGCTGGGAACTGAGTGGATTTTCTCTCTCCTTCGCCTTATCAGTTACCGCAGGAACAGACAATTCCATATATATTTACATAACTTTAAAAAAATCAATCTGGAGTCTCTCACTTGGTTCCTATTTTTAAACAAATGTTTACTTTTCTCAAACAGATCTGTTTCTTGGTGCCGTTAGGGGATAGGGTCTGGGGGGCCAGAAATAAGCACAGATTCTTTCTGTCTGATGTTGCTCTTAATAGATTTACTTTTTTTCCCCATACACCATGAGTGGTTTAATACTTATTTTCCCAAAGACCCTATAATCTTTCTGGCCATATGCTGATTATAATATTATTTTTAGAGCCTATCCTAGCTCTGCTGTGCAGCAGCATTAGCTGATGGGTTAGCACGAACTATTTATTCATTGCAGCATTCTCTCCCTTCTCCCTCCCCTGCCAGCTCCATCTCTAATCTGAGAGTGATACATTGAATAGTTATCAGCTTCTGATACATCAGTTGTGTTGACAGGCCAGACTGTATTCTAGGCAATAATAGTTTGTGATTGCAGTAGGAGAGATCTAGGTCTGACTGTGGAGCAGAGTGCAATCAACAAATGCTTTTGACTGTCATAACATCTTGTTGGTTTTCAGCTGATCAACTGATTAATTACCTGATGATGATGACTTGCCTCTTCCTTTCCTTGCTGCTCAGTTGATCCTTTTAAACTGAAAAATGGTTAGATGGCTGCTCTGGAGGCTGTGCATGGTAAGTTCATTTTCCCTTTGCCACGGCAAATGTGTTCTAATGTTGGTTTCATGACAACCATTTATCCATGCAATGAAGAACTGTAAATGCTTTCTTGTGGGTTACAGGAATCAGGATCCTTTTAAAATACATCTCTGGGGCTGAATTTTCTGATGTCTTTGCTTTTAAACACATCTTTAGGTGTATGTTTTTATTATGAGTTTGAATAGCACTTAAGGGCTCCCAAATAGGGACTGAGGCTCCATCGTGCAAGGCACTGTACAAACACTTGTGCCCCACGTTCACTTTCCATTTTTCCCCTCCTTCACACCAGCTGCCACCTACATGCATGCGATTTTACTCCTGCAAACACTTCTGTGCATGACACCTGTATGGGCGCCCATGGCAGATTCAAACAGTGGCAAGTACATGTGATAGTGTTTCCCGTGCATCATCCCCACGTTGGGACAAAGGGGCCTCGCATGTGAAATCATCTGTGCGTGCAGGTGCTCGTGGCTCAGAGTGCAGGTGTGGAGGGAGCAAAGTTGAGGTGCCATTGTAAACTGGGGCCTTTGTTAGGTGTTTATTTTAAAAGAAAAAGGCAGGGCCTGACAATGATGCCATTGTGCACATATGGATAAGCATATTCTAAAAAGCATGCACTGTCTTTTGTCACCACTTGCCATGGGAAAAATTATGTCAGCTTCCCCTGCTATTTGCTGTGAATTCTCTTGATAGCTCTTGATGGCTGCTGCCCAGGTTTGCTTTATGCAGTGGAGTAGTCGCTGCTGACATCATCGCAGATGGATGGGTGGATGGGCTGGAGGGAAGGTAGAGGTGCCCAACGTATTTTGTAGCTTTCTGCTGGTGTTTACAACCCAGGCTGTACCACTGGGAGAAGACTCTCCCTTTTATCACAGGATGCACATCAAGGCCCAGTGCCAGTGTCTTTTAAAATATTAGGTTTCAGAGTAGCAGCCATGTTAGTCTGTATTCGCAAAAAGAAAAGGAGGACTTGTGGCACCTTAGATTCTAACAAATTTATTTGAGCATGAGCTTTCATGAGCTACAGCTCACTTCATCGGATGCATTCAGTGGAAAATACAGTGGGGAGATTTATATACATAGAGAACATGAAACAATGGGTGTTACCATACACACTGTAATGAGAGTGATCACTTAAGGTGAGATATTACCAGCAGGAGAGCGGGGGGGGGTGGGGGGGTGGAACCTTTTGTAGTGATAATCAAGGTGGGCCATTTCCAGCTGTTGACAAGAACATAAATCAAATCAGACATCAAGAATTATAACATTCAAAAACCAGTTGGAGAACACTTCAATCTCTTTGGTCACTCGATTACAGACCTAAAAGTTGCAATTCTTCAACAAAAAAACTTCAAAAACAGACTCCAACGAGAGACTGCTGAATTGGAATTAATTTGCAAACTGGATACAATTAACTTAGGCTTGAATAGAGACTGGGAGTGGATGGGTCATTACACAAAGTAAAACTATTTCCCCATGTTTATTCCACCTCCCACCGTTCCTCAGATGTTCTTGTCAACTGCTGGAAATGGCCCACCTTGATTATCACTACAGAAGGTCCCCCCCTCCGCTCTCCTGCTGGTAATAGCTCACCTTAAATGATCACTCTCGTTACAGTGTGTATGGTAAAACCCATTGTTTCATGTTCTCTATGTATATAAATCTCCCCACTGTATTTTCCACTGAATGTATCCGATGAAGTGAGCTGTAGCTCACGAAAGCCTATGCTCAAATAAATTTGTTAGTCTCTAAGGTGCCACAAGTCCTCCTTTTCTTTTTTTAAAATACTGTATAGGGAATGAAACAGTGGTGAGAAGTGTCAGCTAGATGGCCAGGAGACTGTTATGCTCACTTTATTCACAAAAAGAAAAGGAGGACTTGTGGCACCTTAGAGACTAACAAATTTATTTGAGCATAAGCTTTTGTAAGCTCACCGATGAAGTGAGCTGTAGCTCACGAAAGTTTATGCTCAAATAAATTGGTTAGTCTCTCAGGTGCCACAAGTACTCCTTTTCTTTTTGCGAATACAGACTAACACGGCTGCTACTCTGAAACCTCACTTTATTCACAAAGCACAGGCAACAAAAACTAAAGCTTCTCTGCATCCACCTCTTTACTGAAGCGACCAACAAGGGCCAGTTAGGGCCTGATCCAACTCCCATTAGTCTTTCCATTGATTAGAGTGGGCCCTAATTGCATATTGTGATGTGGAGCCTGGGAACAGGGCTGAGCCCTCCACCCTAATGTCAGATGCCACAGAGCAGTGGCTCTCAACCTTTCCAGACTACTGTACCCCTTCAGGAGTCAGATTTGTCTTGCATAACCCCAAGTTTCACCTCACTTAAAAACTACTTGCTTACAAATATCAGACATAAAAATACAAAGGTATCACAGCACACTGTTACTGACAAATGGCTGGCTTTCTCATTTTTACCATATCATTATAAATCCATTGGAATATAAATATGATGTTTACATTTCAGTGTATGTATATAGAACAGTATAAACAAGTCTGTCTGTATGAAATTTTAGTTTGTATTGACTTTGCTAGTACTTTTTATTTAGCCTGTTGTAAAACTAGGTAAATAGCTAGATGAGTTGATGTACCCCCTGGAAGACCTCTGCGTACCCCCAGGGGTAAGCATACCCCTGGTTGAAAACGACTGCCATAGACTGCCCCAGGGGCCCCCATGAAGCTGCATTTCTTAGACTTGAGCCCCAAGTAGTGGGGCTCAGAGCCCCGGGCTTCAGCCCCATGCAGTGTGGCTTTGGCTTTCTGCCCTAGGCCCCAGTGAATTTAACGCTGGCCCTGCTTGGTGGACCCCCTGAAACCTGCTTGCAGCCCCCAGGGGGCCCGAGACCTCTGGTTGAGAACCACTGTTCTAGACTATCTCAGTGCTGCTGCCTTCGGCAGCAGGGTCACTTTTTTTACTGTGTAAGTCAGCACAATAATACTTAGCTGTAGTAAGGGGTAGAGGGCTTAATGAGCGTGAGAGATGGACTTTGAGATCCATGGATGAAGGGCAAGAGCTATTCTCATTGCACCCAGACAGGGTGGTAGTGGTGTACAATGCGTGAGTTTTGCATGGTGGTCCTGATTGACTGTATGGAGTTTTTTTGCAACTCATTTCCTGGTAGTTGCACATTGGTACCCACTAGTTAGCCTACAGCAGGTACAGTATATACATTTGGCTTGGCATATATGGTCATATTTCCCTGGTGTGGCTGGCCCCAACAATGTTAGCAGTCTGCTACATACGTACTGTTCAAAGTAACTCCGTTAGCTGAAAGGTGATGGAAGCTTGTGCTTTTGGTCCTGGGCTCTCCCACTGATAAAGGAAGGCTTGCACTTAAAGAGGAGAGAGCATGACCCTTAGAAATAAGAAAACATTTTGTTAGAATCACTCCGTGAGAAAAACAGTCCCAGGCACTTTCAGGGTCACCACTGTCTCTGCCCTTTGTTTATTCGACCATGGGCACATGCAGTTGCCTGATTCACTCACACAATGGTGACAAATGCATAAACAGCTGCACATCTAAATGATAGAAAAACTTGGCTTTTGTGCTAGACTTAAGCGTCAATCCCCTGTTGATGTAAAAAGGCATAGCTGACATCTCTCTGACAGATGTTATTTCAGGCCATCTGTAATTGCAAGAAGGCAGCACTGTATTGGTTACACTTGATTTGCACACAGTTCACATTTCAAAGGTTTTCTGTTCACCCAGAAGAGAGAGAAACTTACTACGACTATTTTATTTTACTTTTTACAGGAAAGTTTGCCCTCTGTGAAATCTGCCTTTGGGCTGAGTAAATGCCTCAAGTAGGTGTGGCTTGGGCCTCTGGGCTGGGTACCTGACACCAGTGTTTGAAAGCAAACCTTTTCTGAGCATTGGTTGTGTGTTGACAGTTGCTTTTTACAGTCATTTATTTATAGCTCTGATTTTCCTGGAGATCTAGAGAGGAATCCATTTGAGCAGTTTCATTAGTCAGCAGTTTATGTTGCCATGGCAACGTTTTATGTTGCTGTAAGGACTAAGGGCAAACGCAAAGGGACAAAAGCTGTCAAGCAGACCAGGAGGAATTATTGCCTCTTATTGGTTTCGAACTCACTTGTTACACCATAGAAAGAGGCCTGTGGTACACAAGGGCTGCCGTTAGCTTGTTTAGTGACAATGGATTGAGACCTGTCTCTTCCTGCTGCTGGCTTTGACCGGGGCCTCTTTCTCTCTTCTCAGCTATGTGAAGCAGATTCGCTGCCAGCCTTTCCACTGATCCGTTTACTCTGCTTGGGGCTGGAGTAGTTTTCATGCATAGCATGCAGTGCCCCCATGTGAGGTTACTGGCTTTAAGTCAAATGCACGTAGACGTTGGCATGGGGGGGTAGTTAGTGCTCGCTAATCAGAATGAGAAGTTATGTGCAGTCTGGGCTAAAGCCAAAGCAGCTAATGAATGTGTTTGCACTCAAACAGACCTGGGTTTTTGTCCAGCAGATCTCACTATGCATGCTCTGTTCTGCTTTGCACTCTCTGTAGAAGCTGGATGCCCACTGAGATAAGGGCAGTGCTGAGATCAGCCTGCATGTTTATGCAGCAAACACAAATAAATCCCCTTTCTGCTCTTTACCATAAAAGGACATCATGTGCTGACTTTCACTGAGGCTATCCCATGTCTCCTAATCCTGCCCAAAGTATGCAGAGTAACATGGCAGTGCGGAGAAGAGGAGGCAGGATATCAATTACTTAACATTTATGCTTCAAATTGGACAGCTTCTGGATGCTGCACAAATAGGATGTGCCAGGCACAAAGGATGGTGGGGGCTGTTTCCTGTGAGGCGCAATGCAGCCTTTTCTCCGCAAGTGGGCGTCTCTCTCTCTCCATGCATTGTGTGCAGGTGTGTGAAGTTACCAGCAAGTTTCTTGCAGTGTCTTTTCGAGATGTACTGTAACCCTCTCTGCAATAGGAGGAAGGTGGGGAG